TCCTGGAAGCGTTAAAAAGCAAATGGTGGCGTGACATGAGAGGTGGGTGTGGTATGTTGCAATCCTCATTCTTTTCGGAACATACTCAACCCTTAAAATCGGCTCGATCAATTTTTTTCGATTTTAGAAGGTCCCTCCTGTGCTCCTCCACCAGAAACATCGCGAACTTCACCGCCGCAAAGTGTATTCGGTAATTATGACTGAACTGTAGTAGAACTCCAAGAGAGTATATTTAAAGTGCTATTACTTTTCAGGAATATTTTACGTGCTTAGCACGGGACTAGTAATTGCTCTGATAATGGCCTTTGGAGAATATTGTATAGAATCGAGACATGACACTTTCCGCTTGAAACTTACTGTGCTAGGAAAGGTAAGTTTCAAACGTGGGATCTAGCACTGTCGCTGAGGGAACTAGTCACAAAATTTAGATCCGCGAATGGTGGCAAGGAAATTCCGGACCAGAAAAGGCTGAGAAAGCGAGAAACAAGCTTAGAAATATGCAATTAGATACAGCTGGTCAGCCACTTCCAAAGTGAGTTATGCTATGGAAAAAGCTCTTTTCCTGTTAGACGCAATAAGTAGACATCCGTAGTTTGCTAAGCTACAAGTCGCATTTTTAGCCAAAACGTTTCTATAACGTTAATTTTGTTCAAGAAGCATATTTAGAGCTTCCATCCTATTTCAAACTGTTTCACAAGAAACCCTTTTGCCGTATCTTATAAGAATGCTGAAGTGGGCATGTTCGACAATGGAATAGTTTCAAGAATCATTATCTCAAAATTATGCCATATCTCTACTTCTTTAAACGCTTGTAGGTACAAATATGTTCTTGTAATCACGAACCATACTTTCCTGTATTCATACCTTTCTGACTACTATAGAGATGTCACAAGTTAACAAAATTAGCAGATATTGCACTTACCTAGGTTTTAATTTTAGGTTTTAAGTTATTAGAATATAAGGAGAAAACGAACAACTCAATTGATTTTACCCTAATCTTTTGATTATTCATCTCTCACTGATTGTCTACAAATTAATCCAAAAAAAAAATGAAAAACATAGAGGGCATGTCAAGGGGGACTGATGAAAATTGCGTTAAGAAGCAATGTGCAGGGGTCATCAAGTTGCAAGAGCTCTATCTAGCTAGAGTCCCTGTAATATATATACATTTTCTTTATAAGTAGCTTTCTAACACGAAGTGTTCAAAAATTTTCATTATATTGTACAACTTAATTCGGTCCG